CCATGGAGAATGGAAAGTATGGTGAAACGATAAAGCTACAGAAATCTTAAATCTTCAATAGTAATCGCCTAGGATCCCTAATAACTATGCCGAATAACTATTTTGAGCATATTGAAATGGAAAACTATGTTTTGGTTTGTGAACAAGGGAGCCGTAAGGCTCGTATTGGCGGAATAGACTTGGTATAAATCGTGAGGTTTGTTTTAATCATTCTATCTCAATAGAGTTGAGTAAAATTGAGTTCACATAATTCTCCGTAGAATGACCAATTTTTTCATAGTGTAATCTTTACACACCAAAATGTTCGGATACTATGTCACGAAACTGCTTGGCGATTTCTAGCTTTAGAACAGCTCAGGAAACAATTATCCTATCTTTTAGTTATCCTCTAGGAATTTGATGTGTCGATTAATGTTGGATTTCAGTTCATAAATTTTGAAGGATACATTTCAGATAAACATTTTTAACTTTTATGTTAATAGATTAAGGCTTAAGGCCCAATCTCTAACCTTCTTAATGCTTATTTGTAATTTTAAGTTCTAGTTTTGAAGTTACTTTTTCTGTGGTTGAAATTTCTCTATAATAGATCTTTTCAACTCAACCTTTCTTTCTTCGGGAAGCAAAAGAGATAAAAGCTCAAAGTTAAGCAGACGTTTGCTCGCAAGTCCTTTTGCGGTAAGGATATGTTTGGTGCAATATATTAGATTGATAGCGTATTGGTATGTTAATTTCAGCTTATTGAATTATCCTTTACGATCCTCAGAATATCGTTAACCTACCTTTCACAATTTCTAGTTTTACCCAAACATGAGAAATTATTAGGTTGTTTGTCTGTGAGTCTCCTGGACTTATTGCCATAAGTTAATTAATGGTTTGATCTTAGTCATATGTCATATATACATATCTTTAAGCTCACTGCTGAATTTAAGATCTAGCGTCATTGTAAGCTCCGTTTGACGTATGATGGGTTTATTGCTATTTGAAAGTTTGGAACAGCTGCACCCATTTTGAGAGAAATACGTGAAAAATTAAGTTAGTTGTGTTTAATTGCAAAGGACAAAGTACTTTGGATTTTGAAGTGTGACGAGCTGATCAATGAACTTTCAGATGTACCGTGCTTAAAGTCCATAAACAATATCTCAGCAAAATTAAAAATCTAATTTGATAAACTTATTATGGATGATACTAAGTTTGTCATTTTTTATTGGTTTGTCGTTCAAAATTTGCAAATTCACTTTGTAGTGGGGTTCATCAAAATTGATATGTAGGAAGAAGCTAGGACACGCTTCTCTTGCTCTCTTCTATTCTACAATTCTCTCCCAGTTTTAAGGGTATTGTGTTTAAAGTAGTCCGGGAAACTGGAAACCAATCAATGGAAATACTTCACCTTCATCATATAGTCCATACACCACACTAGATAGATATCATGTTCATGGAATAGGGAATACGATGTAGAGCATAACAATAATGAAAGCACTGGTTATTTCATAAAACATATATTTGACTCTATGCCTTGAAATAGACCAAAAGGCTAAGGCCAGTTAAATGGGGCAAGACAATCAAGCAAACAGCTTAGTGTCCCAAGGGCTTAGGCCTTGCGGGGTGTATGTGTCAGCAAGTTGAGGTATAGCCGTATAGGCTGGACAAATGGCATTGGAAGAATAATCATCAAGGCACTTAATGAAGTCTTCACATGAAGCTTGCCTAAAGACATAAATTCGGCTGTTTTTTGATAATCAATTCATCATCTCGTTACTTGGGAAACATTACTTTTTTTTAAAGAGTTTTTTCTTTGCCAACAGACTTTTGTTCTGCATTACATGTGTGGATAACAGAAATGGATTGAAAGAAGAATGATAGAGAAAGAGGGTGGAACTGAGGGTTTCTTTAGATTCTTTGGGGTGCTTTGCTTTTCAAAATCAGTGATTAAAACCATTGATTCCATTCCTTGAGTTGATCTAGTACAGTTGTAGTTCTTCACTTTTTGAACAAGTCTTACACTTTGAACTTCTGTTTAAGAAATAGTTGTTTAGGGGCTTGTCATTTTCCACTTTTCTTTTAATTTCCTTTTGCTTTATCTTTTATTCAAGTTTTCAATTGCTTCCAATAACTCCGAATTCCAAGTGGGTTTGAAGATGCGATGGAGGAGCTTGTGGATGCAGAATTCTCTTCATTGTTTTTGGTAAGTCATGTATTAATTCTATTTCACTTGCTTTTAACAATTTCCTTAGGTCACGAGGTATGTCTGGAGAAACAAGATAACAAGATATTATGTTTTGACCAACCCTGTAAATATAGTTTATTGCTGGGCTGGAGATCTTTTTCCAGCTTATTCGTGTGTTGGCTAGCTACTTTAAATAATCTAGGATTTCCATGATGTGCTAGATTCCCAGTTTTGTAATTTTTCCCTAATCCACATGCTTATTGACCCTTGGAATTCTGGTTTCCTCATTGCCCCCAGCTTTTTGTAGTTTCTCAACCTTGTTTGAAGTTTGCCTAAACACTTGTGCGTGCGCTTACCTTCTGTAATACTGAGAATTACCTATAGCCACTGACATAAAAAAAAGATGTAGTTTTTTCGTTGGAAGCTGCAAGTTGTTAGGTATCAGGATTACCCATGTCGGGTTTGTACTGTGAAGGTCTTGGGCAGTGAAGTTGGTTTGGATTATGGGTATTTTTGAACTTTGGAAAACATGAAAATAAAGGTTTCAATGAGATGCCCTGTAGGTCAATCCATTTTTTGGTTTGACTGGTCCTCATCATTTGGAAAATGTAGTGATAACTTCCTGAAGTATTTTCCGTGCAATCGGTTATTTTCCCGAATTTTACTTTTAGCAACTCCTAAGTTCAAAGTTTAATTTGCATAAGAAGAATAAAACGGGAAAATAGATACTAGGAATTATAAGGCCCTTTGTTAGGGCTTTTGAAAAGCCAAAAATTGCTTTCGAGACTAAGAAGATGCTTTTGAACATATTTCGATAATTTTTTGAAAGTGTTTTTCCGACTAGAAGAGCTTTTAGAGGAAGTTAGCTTCTTTAGAAAGCTCTTATACAAGAAACAAAAGTAGAAGCCCGGTCAAACGGCCCGTTATGTGATAATGAATCACTTTGTTGTTGAGGCAAATTTCTTAGCGAATGTTTGACTTTGCTTCTTTCTACAAACAAAGCTGTTTTATTTTCGGCAGCTTTTTTGTTGAAATTGGCTTGAAATTTTCTTCTCTTGCCAGTGCCATAAAAATGCAAGCTTTTATCTACTTTTGTAGTATTTCAGCTAGTTTATTGGAATGTCTGAAAATAATGTTCCGGGGTGAGTACTTAGTATCCGGTAGCCTGCTAATCCTTAGCTATAGCGAAGGATTCTTAAAATAATACAAAATATGTATAAGCTACTTGGTGAACTAGAATAGTATCTTGCTGTTCAGATTACATCGTCACAGGACAAGGGTCGGTATCAGATATGCTATTTTCCATTCAAGGAACATGCTACAGATGAAAGAACATTCTCTGGTTTATAAAATGCTCCTCCTAACGTGTAGAATGCTAATGTTTTGTCTCTGTACGGTTTCTTTAGGATCATCTCGAGATCTTTTGTGATTCCTCAAAGCTCTTGTACTTGAGTTGTCACAGTTCTATTTGACTGTAATGTAATGGTGAACATTTTGGATTAGTTTTGAAGCCTTATATGAATTAGATTTTGTAATATTAATTTTTATATTCAAATTATTAGAAAAAATATTTAACGAATACTGATTTTGGTAATTGTATTCCAGCCTTGGCCCCTCTGTGTAACCAAATTTCATCTATAAAATGTGGGTTTGGTTTTCTGTTTCTCTCGTGTAGCAGTCCTGCAATTTAGCATTTCTAACTATGATTTACAGCATCTGTGATATATGTATTACACAAAATAGTGAAGAAAATTAGTGTATAAAAAGCTTTATATATGATTTTGAATTAAAAAACGAGGAGTAAATAAGTGGAAAATATTTGTGAATTTTTCAAAATGTATGGATAAAATGAACGTTAATAAACTGTTCATATACATGAGCCAAATTGGCTGAATTTCTGTCTTCCTTGCAAAATGAGCTTTAAAATAAAGAATTCAACTATAGTCATAAGTTTAATATGAGATAAATTAATGATTGTAAAGGTTTGTGTTTGATAAAAATTATTTAAAACTCATTTTCAAGTGATTTTTTTTTATAATATAATTTTGCATATAACCTTATTTTTTAGTTACACTTTCTCCAAAAAAAAAAACCTCTCATCCTAAACAATTTGCCAATGTTTCATTTAGATAAAAAGTTTTTTTAGTAGATTTTAATAAAAATTGATTAAATGTGTAGTGTTATAAGATTTGTGGTAAAAATTCAATGGTGATTTTTTAAAATTATAATCAGATCAAATTTTTTAGTTGAATCAAACACTGACCGAGTCAAACATGCCCTAAGCCCTTGTTTGGGGCACATTTTTAATCCAAAAAAATGAAAAATATAGCAGTTGGAAATGAAAAGACAGTCAATTTTTTTGACCTTCAGTTCAGAGGTGGGACCCAAATTTGACAACTAACAGTCATAATTTTTTCTTCTAATGAACTAAAAATGTGCTCCAAACAGGAGCTAAATTGAAAATTAATTGAACCTCCAAACCTCTCTAATCATCATCATCATCATCATCTTAATGAGTTGGAATATACTTCAAAAGGATAAAAATGGCAATTAATGGTAAAAACCACAACCAATCTAAACCGTTGGATATATATCCGTTACACACCACAAAGTGCAATGCCATCTGTCTCCCATCAATTCAAAATTCAAAATTCAAACTCTAAACGTTAGCCCTTGGACATTCAAAAAACCATATATTATTTACCCAAATCCCCCTCTATATATAAATTTTACGATTACCTTCCCCTTTAAACCTCCCCATTTTAACTCTCCCATTTCTCGTATCCTCCCTCATTCTCTCTTTTTCTCTGTTTCATTTCTCGAAAAACAAAGAAAAATGCGTGAAATTCTTCACATTCAGGGAGGCCAATGCGGTAACCAGATCGGTGCCAAGTTCTGGGAGGTGGTGTGCGCAGAGCACGGGATTGATGGCACCGGACGGTACCAAGGGGACACGGATCTCCAGCTCGAGAGGGTTAATGTGTACTACAATGAGGCCAGCTGCGGAAGGTTTGTTCCCCGAGCCGTGCTCATGGATCTGGAGCCTGGTACCATGGACAGCGTCCGATCCGGACCCTATGGCCAGATCTTCAGGCCTGACAACTTTGTTTTTGGTCAGTCTGGGGCTGGAAACAACTGGGCTAAAGGGCATTACACCGAGGGTGCAGAGCTTATTGATTCTGTTCTAGACGTTGTCAGGAAGGAGGCCGAAAATTGTGACTGCCTGCAAGGTATTTGCTTTTTTGTTTCTATCAGATATGATAATGAATTTGTCTTGTATAACATGTTTAACGTTTGTTCCTACATCTTTTTGTTTCAAACCCATATAAAGTATTTGAAAATATGATCGCGTTCCTTCATATCAATTCCCTTTAACACGCTGTATAACACATCCAACGTTTGTATCGTTTCATACATCTTTTGTTTCAAACCCATATAAAATATTTAAAAATTTGATTATGTTCCTTCATTTCAATTTCCGTATGACATGATGTTTGAATCATTGCCTGTATGAAATTTTTTTTGCTATAAATACACTCTTTTATCCTGTCCATACAAGGAAATTTTCACAAGATGAATTTTACCTATGATTTGCATATATTAATGTTATATAGAAATTTTCCTTCCAGACACTTCGATCATTGTGAAAATGCTGCCCCATTTTTATGTTTAGGCTACTTATTTGGACATATCTTTTGTGGATATATGTGCTTATGACTGTGTATGTCTGGATGCAGGGTTTCAGGTGTGCCATTCATTGGGAGGAGGAACAGGGTCTGGTATGGGGACCCTGTTGATTTCGAAAATAAGGGAGGAGTATCCTGATAGGATGATGCTGACATTCTCGGTGTTCCCATCTCCAAAGGTTTCTGATACTGTTGTCGAGCCTTACAATGCAACATTATCTGTTCATCAGCTTGTGGAGAATGCTGATGAGTGCATGGTTCTTGACAATGAGGCACTGTATGACATTTGCTTTCGAACGCTGAAGCTGACTACTCCTAGCTGTAAGTTTTCTTAATTTATGTGTATATAACTTGTTTGTCTGAATTGTAAAGTTTTGTATTTGTAAAATGTATAGTTTTTTTAATTGCTTTTAATAATTTTTTTTATCTAACAGTTGGTGATCTGAATCATCTGATATCTGCAACCATGTCTGGAGTTACCTGTTGCCTCCGATTCCCAGGCCAGCTCAACTCTGATCTCCGCAAACTTGCTGTCAACCTCATTCCGTTTCCTCGTCTTCACTTCTTCATGGTGGGATTTGCTCCTCTCACCTCACGCGGGTCTCAGCAATACCGGTCTCTAACCGTTCCGGAGCTTACTCAACAAATGTGGGATTCAAAGAACATGATGTGCGCTGCTGATCCCCGTCATGGTCGTTATTTGACAGCTTCTGCTATGTTCCGTGGGAAGATGAGCACAAAGGAAGTCGATGAGCAAATGTTGAATGTCCAGAACAAAAACTCTTCCTACTTTGTCGAGTGGATTCCAAATAATGTCAAATCAACTGTTTGTGACATTCCACCAACTGGGTTAAAGTTGGCATCGACATTCATTGGAAACTCGACTTCAATTCAAGAAATGTTCCGCAGGGTTAGTGAGCAGTTCACAGCTATGTTTAGAAGGAAGGCTTTCTTGCATTGGTACACGGGTGAAGGAATGGATGAGATGGAGTTTACTGAAGCTGAGAGTAACATGAACGATCTGGTGTCGGAATATCAGCAGTACCAAGATGCAACGGCAGATGAGGAGGGAGAGTATGACGATGAGGAAGAAGAAGCGTACGATGATTGATGCTGAAAATGATAATCGGAATATTATTGGGAAACTTGCTTTGTAGTTGTAGAAAAAGTTGATTTCTACTGTGGTTGTAACCTCAACTACCAGTTTTCCAGATTGTAGGAAGAAATTAGCAGTGAAAGAAAGTGGTGGCTATCAATTTACAGAACAATTTATGTGACTGGCTAAAACTTTGTCAATTTATTTGAATTGCAATTTCAAATTTCATTCCAGAAATTAATTGAAACGTGTGATGCTGCAGATACTTTTTTCCTTTTTTTTTCTTTCTATGGGGGAGGGCTAAATTTGAGCGTAGCAAGACTGCAATAGAGGGCTAAATTATTTCATGTTTTATAGTGAAAACTGTACTTTTTTCAAATGCAAAAAAGTACAATTTCAACCCCCTCTCATGTACAATACTTTTCGCCCTCCCCCATTTTGATGACCACCTAATCAGACACCAGTGATACACAACCACGACTGCACTCGCTGTCTCCCTTCTTGACACCTCGGTTCAAATCAACACTGGCACAAAACTCGGTCCGCCTTACATCTTCCAACTACATCTCTTGGAAAGTCCAATTAACCCTATCCTCTATGTCCTCAATCTTAGAGGCTATCTAAATGGAATCTCTCCCTCTCCTAACAAAACTATCACAATCGACGGAGCCAAACTCTTATTATTCACCTTAAGACAAGCCATCCTAGTTAACCGGTGGAACCGTGGAACCTAACCAATCACTGAACCCACGAACTATCTACTCTTGGCACTCCGTCAGTGATGTTGACCTACTCATCTATTGTGCTCGTAGTCTTTGTTTGTTGCATCCTTCGTACTCGAGACTCCTCTGTTCCCTTTCAGGAGCTAGTTGACAAACTCATTGATCATGAAAAATACCTTCATGACAAGTTGACAACAAGTCCTTTTCTATCAATTTGGTTCCATCTGTTCACTACACCCAGTTTGCCCTTCCAGCTTAGAGACGACAATGGCTCGAACTTCAGTGGCTCTTGACGTCAGAGACCACTTTCCTTCACGGCCTGAGGAATCTTGCTGATCCCTCCTCAACTAGCAGTCTTTCCTTCACCCTCTTGGGGCCCTTCTCGTGATGCCCTCTCTCCAGATTTTATATACCAATATTGTCATATGAAAGGACATGATGCTAACAGGCACTACAAGTTGTCTTCCCATCCTCGCGTCTCTAGGCCTTCGATCAACCATGCGACACTTCACTCACTGCCGACAACTGGATTGTTGCCTCTGGAGCCTCGCACCACATTACCTTCAGTACTCACTGCCGACAACTGGATTGTTGGCTCTGGAGCCTCGCACCACATTACCTTCAGTGTCTCTAATCTCACACTTCATCACGAATACAAGGACGTTCGTGATGTCACTCTTGGAAATTGTCCATGTCTTTTTCCAACTTTCATTCTCTCTAATGTACCTTGTGTTCCTAGTATTAAGAAAAATATAGTCCATATGTTACAGTTTTGTAAATCAAATTCCACTTCGATTTAATTCTTCCCCTATTTTTTATTGTGAAAGATTTGTGAATAGGGAATCCTCTCATCCATTGTTAGAACACTAATGACATTTATCGATGGACGGTCTCCTCACCTTTTACATTGTCAGAACACAAATGTAAAAAGTTGTCGAAAATGACACAAATGTAAAAAGTTGTCAACTATTGATTTTCGACAAGTATAACTAGTGATATTGTCGGTGATCATTTTTTCTCATAAATATTTTTACGGTTATTTTTGAAAAGGTACCTCAATATTTTTGTCTAACGCTCCAAATTGTTTGAGCCACCTCTGAATGCGATAGTTATGTCTACTTGTTTTTACAAGAATTTATTATAATCAAAGAAGAAGATTATAATATACCTCTACACTAAAAAAAAAAGGTCTTTCTAACCTCAATCTTGCGTCCAATTCTCAATCTTAACATAACCTCGCCACTTTATACTTAACTCAATATCGACTTAACATATTTTAAAAAAGTAAAATATCAATCATTAAAGATATTTAAATTAAAAAATGAAGTCTTGAGAATTTAAAAAATTTTAAACTTCGATCATTTTTGCAAGATTCATCGAGGAAATGAGTTAGTTGTCTAAAAAATAACTAAATTTTATTGCTCCACGGTGTCATTATTGAACTTTAAAAATGTTACTTAAACATCGCTGAACTTTGTCAAAATGTTCTAAATCCATCACCGATGTTCTGTCGAAAATTCAATTATTTTTTAAGCAATTAAGTCGTATCTTTATAATAGTGTATTTGATATTTGCACTAATTTAAGGTATCTATTAATTTATTATTTAAACAAGTAACCTATTTATAAATTAACCTAAAAATAATTGAAAAAATTGCATTTCAATAATTATACTTTATTCTATATCAATCAAGTAACCGTACTTCAATTTTCATTCAATCGGGTAACTACTTGCATTTTTCAATTAGGCTACCTTGTCTAATTTTGTCATCTGGAACGATGAAAATCAACGATATAATAGTCAATCAATGATATTTGTTATTTATTTTAATGAATTACTTATTTCAGGTCAGAAATCAACCGGTTTCATGTGAAAACATTATTTATTTTATTTATTGACTATCTATCGTTGATTAACGTTTGTAGATTTGGACACAGTTAACTTATTTAAAATCAAATTAAAACGTAGTTTTTAATTACCTGTGACAATGTGAATTAGTAAATTAAAGTGTAATTGCTTAATTGGAATAAAATTAAAGTATAATTACTCCATTAAAATTATATTAAAGTGTAGTTATCGATTAAAAAAAATAAAAGTATATATATTGGGTAAAATTTTACCAAAGAACCTACAACTTACAAGCCTGTAGTGGTAACATTATTGGGCAGTGACCGCTTAGGAATTCGAAGGGAAGAAGAAATAGTGTGACGGTGTGTGTGAAAATGGCGGTTCTCATCATGAACAGAGCATCGGCACTGGAAAGAATGGCTAACCATTTTAGACTCTCATTCAACCTTTTCCGTAACTCTAGTACCACCGCTTCCACGGAAAGGCCGGCGGCGGCGGCGGCGGCGGCGGGTAGAGCAAACCAGTCGAAGCGAAAGAAGAAGAAAAACCTGTTTGAGGTGGCCCAGTTTTTACCCAACTGGGGCATCGGCTATCACATGGCTAAAACCCACTGGACCGGCATATCGTATCAGATTACAAAAATCAACCTGTACAAAGTATAGCCCTTTTATCCTTTTCACATATGCAAACTTATATGTTTACGTGTGAGTGTAACTATATCATATGTGTTTCAGTAGGAATTTGCTTTACGGACTATTTTTGTATAACTAGGGTTTAAGGGTATTCGTTGGGATTTTGCAGGATGGAAGGCACGGGAAAGCTTGGGGGATTGTTCACAAAGATGGTACTGTTTTTTTTCCTAGCCTTAATTACCTGTTTCGTTTTGACTCCTTTTGTATGCTTTATCTGTCATTATTCTCTCGTTCGGTTCTGAGAAAATGTTTAACATTTCTGGAGGATGAATTGTTTCGACTTTATTTAGTGTTTTTACTTTAATTTATTGATCCTTGAGAATTGAGAATAAGAGGGATTTTTAGTATTTGAGTGAAAAATAGATGCACACTGACTGAATCTGCAGCTTTATGACAGCTGAAAAATTGCTGACTTTACAGAATGAAATTAGCTAGAAGAATATATAATCTGTCAATGTTTATAGGTTGGAAGAGGCAGTTTCTACTCTTTCGAATTTTCTTTTGGACTCTGACTCCCAAATAAGTTGAAGAAATTATGCAGTAGTTGGTAGCCAAAGATTTTTCTGCGTATTTGTTTAGACCCGTAAAAGATACAAAGAGAAACTTAGATTATGTGCAATGTGATCACATGCAACTTCTTCTCTAGTGTAGCTGAAACTCTTCACTACACTTTGAAGACCTGCAAAAAGGCAAGAGAAATCTAGTGAAACTAGGAGCAGAAATGCGAAATTATACTATCAGTAAATGGTAAAAATGCAGGACAAGTGTTCTGCTGAAATTTAACTTTTTACTTGTATGAAACAGCTTGTTGTACAACTGCTGTTATAGTCTACATGGAACGTTCGTGATTCTGCAATGAAAGATAACTACCAACTAGAGGATGTAAATTCCTTAACACATTACTAGAAGTTTCATTTCACTGATTAAATAGCTCGTTGGAATTCCAGGATTTGTAATCTGCCAGCACAAAGTTTGCGCAACAACTCAACTGTTCCACTTTGTACTAAATTAGGCCCAAGCAAGACTTGTAGAATGCTCTGCATATTTACTAAGTTCGACAGGCCATTAACTGTTGTTTACTTCGGTCTCCACAGGATTGATGGTATAGTCAGCCATCACAATAACTTCGTAACCTTCATGCTTGTGTATATGAGTAAGTATTGACTTGTTTCCAGTCACATGGTGAGAATACCCGTAATCAACAATTCACCGTTTCTTAAAATTTGTGGCTGCTGGACTTCTTTTTTATGGATATCCTCAACAAATTATTTATGTCGATGATTTTGGCCGACAAGTATTATTCCAATCAATAAGGCCATTGTCTCTTTCTTAGAAGCACTTGTATCTCCTCCTACAATCTTGGTTGCAAAATTTATTTGTATGTCCCATTTGCTGAAACGGTGATATTTCACTTTCTTCGATATCCTATTTGTACATTTTCAACCTTAAGTCATATTCTTCTGCTCGATAGTAAAATGGGTGAAACAAATGCCAAACGATTGCAAGCAAGGATAGATAGAGAACAATTTCCTGCGTAAAGGGTAAAGCATTAATTGTATGTAGCATCTAATATGAGGTTCAATTAACAGAGAGGCATACAAAGTCCAGTTTCTAGTTATTTAAGCGCTGTTGTCAATTTGAGATGGCTGTTATCTCTTCTTCCAGTACCATGTACTTCTATGAAAGATGAAGAAAATGAGAAACAAATTTTGGATAATTTTTTTTTTTTATATTTGAGGGGCCCATCAATCAA